AGTTTACAAAAAAAGTATACCGACCGAGGAATCCCAATTAATCATCTTACAAGGGGGATAAATTAAAAAGGACGCACACTAAGCAAAAAAAGGATAAAACCACCAACACACCTAGCACTATCCTTTCCACACTCGATTTCAGTGTAAAGGCATAACCTAAAGTATCCTCTCTCAGTCTAAGTGCCTAAAGATGACAATTGATATGAAAGACAAGATACTACACTTCGATACTAACTACTTTAAAACCGACAATCCTAAAACACCCTACCGTTCATTTTCCCATTTAGCCAACTAACCAGATAGCGTATACCATCCCCGTAGAACAAGTGGAAATGTTAATATTCACAATTCATTTGCAATTAGGCCAATAATTCACACAATCGTAAACACGAGGAGGCAGATCCCTCAAGGTCTGCAACGCCCAGTGAATCGTGGATAGAGGCACACATCACGAATGTGATATTGTCCTAGGAGCCAAGTGCAAAATCTCTCGAATCCCAAACCATAGCCACCATGGGGACAGGTTCCGAACTCACGCTAAAAGAGCAAAAAATAGACACATGAAAGGAAGCAATGAGTAGTAACAAGTTAGGAGGGATAGTAACAGCACAGTGGACTGGGAAGTAGAAGTTAATAGGAGGGCAGACACTCACCTGTTGAGTGTACCAATAGTAGGGAGATGGATCGATTCCCTCTCGTGAATAACCAGCAAGGAGACCTTTAATGTCAGTCATCCTCATTGACCCACCAACAATTTCTCCAACACCGGGCATCAGTAAATCAACCGATTCTGTCACAGATGGATCATTCTTCACACGCTGCATGTAGAAGGGCGTCAGTTCAGCAGGGAACTTGATCACCAGGACAGGAGTACCGATTCTATCGATCAGCTCGCGCTCGGGTTTTTCAGGAATATCATCCCCAAACTTGAACGTCTCACCGTCTTCCTTGTAAATCTTCTCAGCCTCCAGCCGCTTCAGAGCATCACGGTATTCCAATCGCATGAAAGGTCGTTTTGGTGGCACGAAACCCTACAAAACCCCACAATCGAGACTCGCAAGATTGCTAGTGCGAGGAAAGAAGTGATTAACCAATTCACCTTACAGGGTTAATCTCCAAGACTAAGTCTCCAACCTCCTTCATAATACGTTCTGTTACATCACAAACCAGATCTTCAATCTGGTTCAAGAGATCATCGAACTCTATGAAGGGCGATTCAGCCTCAATATGCAAGTACTCAGATAAGTGCCGACGTGTACGACTCTACAACGAAAATCCACTTTTCAACTCACAAACTACTTCCGCACGAAAATTAAGTCAACCAAACGAAACACCAACATACCTTCTCAGCTCGGTAGCTACGAACCATGCAATAACAGTCTCCAACAGAAGGTAGACAAGTCTCCAAGTAAAGCTGACTTGACTGCGTCAAGAATGCAGGTTCACCGAAGTAATCGATTTTAAAGAGTGTTGAACCTCCTTCAACTTGAGTTTGAACTAAGGTCGGAGGTTGAACTTCCTTAAAACCACGAGATCTATAGTGATCTCGGAAGGCTAGGGATGCAGCACTGATAACCTTCAAAATCTTCGACTCCTTTTCGTTACGAATCATCAAATGGCGGTTGTCCAATTGAAGATCCACTTCCGATTCCTCTGTCACCACTGATTCCAGACCACCGGGTGGAGCTTTTCCAATAACTTCGTAGTAATCTGCATGAAGCTCAATTCCACCTGGAGCAGTTTGACCCTCAGGCACCTTGGACACAACACCTTTCACAAAAACTGTTGATTCCGGGGCAAGTGCTAACCCATCAGCTGTTTGAGGAAGACCATTTGCCAGAATGCATTGGAGATAACCAGTTCCATCACGAAGAACAATGAACATGAGTTTCTTGCTCTGACGACGAATGGCTTGAACCCAACCATAAACTTGTACCCGCTTGTCCAAATGGGTGTGAAGATTGCAAATTTTAGATTTGATAGCTGCAGGCAGACTCAAATCCTCTTTAATTTCAACTGCAGAAGGGGCAGAAGTAACGGTCGACACAGCAGGAATAGTTTCACCAGAGGCGGCTGATTTCTGCGACTGAATTTTATAGTTTTTCATTTTCTTCTTCAGCTGAGTTTTTGATCTCAGCCCACTTTTCCTCCGGTTTTTCAGTCGCATCCACATAAATCTTCAATTGTGGAACCTTTTCAAGGGTCATGACCTCAAACAATCTGTGAAGAGTTTTGTAGGGATGCTCTTCACTTCCATCACCACTACAATCATCCCCAAGTTTGTTTGAAACATAGCGCTCTATTAGTTCTGAGATGGAAGCGGAGATAAGCAATTTAAACGAAAAATCACGAAAAATGCTAAAACCTACCACCGTTTGATCCCATCATGACAGTAAATAAGTTGGCGAAACGACGGAAGGTCGACGATTCACTTCAAAGACTGTAGAATTAAGCAAATCGGTGCCGTCAAACTGAGTTTGATTAGCAAAAAAGTGAATAAAAAGTTATTTCTCATTTTAATCTATTATTCAAAATTAAATTTACAATTCTTAATATTTGAATAACTTTGTAATAATAGGAATTTTATATTTTTCTGGAATAATGAACTACTGGTCAACGTTTTATGAGATTCTGCCATGTATACTTAACAGAGTATTATTTCTAAATATGTAAAACTCAGTTCATGATTTTACGAAGCGTTTCATTTTTACCACTTATATTTTTGCCCTGTTGCTGGTGTGACTTTCTTTAAATTTATTAGTTGTGACGAGTTTGTACTAGTCAAAGCTGATCCCTTTCTCACATATGTATCAGTATATTGAATTTCAACTTTGATATCATATCCCTACGGGTCAAGGCTACGGTTTCGGCAATAAGCAGTAAGCATTCTAAGCATTTTTTCAATTTTCCATCTAAATTTATATTTGTTTATTCAGCTGCATACATAATTAATTTTAATAAATATGCCGGAAAAATGCTTCATTTAGATTTTAAGGTACCTAATAGCACTTAAGATCCTTTGTAGCAAAATGAACAAACTTCTCGATTATAAATAAGCAACAACTGTAAACATGAAGGTCGAAAATGAATCTTACATTTAGCACTGGAGCTACCATTTAGTCCATTTTTCAAAGATCGAATCGAATTTATGAATGGCACAATTTTATGTCGATCATAAAAGAGAGAGAAACTCGAGACTTTATAATGAAGATGTACTTTTCAACTTTAAATTCGATTTTTTGGTTGCAGGGTTCATAACCCTGAAAACATAAAGAAGCGTGGTTGATCAAAGTTAATAAGATCCATTGATTTTGCAACTTTTTTTTCAAATTCAATCATAAGCTTATGCTTGATAAGAGCTATGAGTGGAATTATTCATCTTATATTTACTTTAGGCGATGCGTTAGACCTTTTATACGTGTCTTCATATTTCCTAAGGTTATTTTTAGGTTATTACAGCCTTGTGCCAGATTACACCCATTAATTATAAAATAATGTCGTTGTAACATGCCATAATTAAATAATCCCTTAAAGTACTAATCAACATTCTATTACTAAGCTCGAACTCGCCAACATGTAGTTGAATTGGTCATTCGGCATGTTAGACAAGATAGTAGAAGACACATCGTTATCATGGCTGAATCAAGAAATAATCAAGTGCACTAGAACACTCAACAGTAAGAAAAAGTGAAAGTGATGAGTGCGCAAATGTAAGAATCCTCACCTAGGAGAAGTGGGAGGGAGGGATAAATGGGTTGCTTCCGTCTTGCTTGTTCGTCTGTTTAATAACCCAAACAAATGAGTCAACGTGTACATTCGGTGGAATGGTACAATTATTAAATAACATGAAGAGGATCAAAAAGCTCATATTTATTCCTAAATGTTGTGCTTAAGTGAAATGTGAATTTTGATGGTATTTGGCATGTAAATGGTATGCCGAACAATGCCATGACCAAATATGTGTTAGGCGATAAATCACGGAAAATTGAAAGTTGGCCTACCTCTCAATAGTAGAGGAGAAAATTCTTCTAGAACAGTAATAATATGATTAGTTCAATATGGGAATTTGAAAATATATATTATGGTAGATCATGCACATGCCAATGGCAGAACAGACACACCAATATGAAAAATTGAGGTAGGACTTTTGCTTAATTTCTCTGATCAGTTAAAAAAGCTTTTCGCTCATCATTTAAAAAAGGATGTGATTAAAAAAACGAGTATGTTTTGAACGCCAGTGATCTGACTGTCAGTTTCATATTTTAAGAAGATCCATCATGATAAGGAAGAACTCCCCCTGAGACTTATTTGGATGTTGATTTGACTGAATTTTCCCTGTATCTCTGATGTTTATGAACGGAGTTTTGTATTCATTTAAACTGCTATAAGCTCTACCAAGTATTTTATCAGTTTCGGCTTGTCTAGTTGAATAAGGAAAACATGGGAGATATCAATATTAAAGTAGGTTGAATCACTATTTGATTTATTAAGAAATCACGTCGTAAATGACTCGGAATATTCGAACTATTTCATTCTTTCAATGTACTCCTATGAACCAAGCTCGTTTTTTACAAAGAATTCCTTAATACATAAATTTAGTTTACATAACCTTAATAAAAGTTATTTGAAATCATGTATCTTTCTAACCGTAAGTATACAGGGAATAATAAACTTAAATTTCTTTACCATTTTTTGAATACTTACGAAATAACATTGTTAGAATTATTTATAAAGAAAATTTAATTATAACAATAGTATCTTGACTGTTAGTCTCCATCTACTTATCACAATCGATATAATAAATCGAACTCGTCAGAATTGTTAATTAAATTATGCTTAATTTATGGCCGTGACAATATTCAAAATAAAATAAACATAACTTATTAACCTTTTGGATTTCGATTTTTTAATACCATTTGATTTGTTTGCATAAACCATTCAATCGGACGTCTGCTTAACTATTTAAGCGTTTTGTTGCACGTTTGTTCTCACCCGTTAAAATGCAGAAACAGGTCGACGCGTTGGCATCTAATTTTGATGATGTTGTTTCCCAGCCAAAGTTTAAAAACCTTGGCAAACATATTGAGGAGAATATGAAGCTGCAGTATCAAAAGCAGCAGTTGGAGAAGGTTTATCTTAACTTATTTTCTAATTTCACTTTAATTTGGTTTAGTCAATTGAAAATGCGCATAAGCTGCTTGCCACCCATCAAGTTTCGGTACTCAATGCACTTGTGTCAACATTTGATTTGGCTATCAAAAAGGCTTTTCCGGAATGTAAATCTATTTCTGTTGTTATAACACCAAGTACAAGTCCGAAATTCGGGGATTATCAGTGCAATAATGCCCTTAGCTTATCAAAAGAACTTGCTGCAAGCGGAGTAAAGCTTGCGCCTCGTGACGTGTCCGCCAAAATTTGCGAACATTTGGAGAAAGGATCTCTTATTGATAAGGTGGACATTGCCGGACCCGGATTCATTAACATTCACATTTCTCAAAAATTTGTTGAAGATGAGGTTACGAAACTCGTTCGGCTCGGTTTCCGCATGGCTCCTGTTGAACGACCTCTAAAGGTTATTCTGGATATGTCTAGTCCAAATATTGCCAAGGAAATGCATGTTGGTCATCTCAGGTAGGTGCCAAATTTATGCTTGCAATCTCATGCTTATTATGCGTACTTCGGCTAACGAGTTACTTTCTCAAGGTCAACAATTATTGGTGAAAGCGTCTACAGAATCCTTACACTTATGGGTCACGATGTGGTGAAGATCAACCATCTTGGAGATTGGGGTACCCAGTTCGGAATGTTGATTGCTCATCTCAAAGACACATTCGGTGACCTTGGTGAGCAAGCGCTTCCCGTTAGCGATCTTCAAAAGTTCTACAAAGAAGCTAAGACGCGGTTTGATTCCGAGGAAGACTTCAAAAAACGCTCATACGAGGCTGTTGTGAAACTCCAATCCTTTGATCCCGAGCACATTAGGAATTGGGAGAAGATCTGTGATGTTTCGAAGAGGGGTATAAAGCGTTAATGCCCCATTTTCTAAATCGTTTCTAAACTCTTATTTATATTTTTCTAACTGTAGAGTTCAATGAAATCTACCGTCGAATGGATATCAATAATCTGATTCCAAAGGGCGAGTCCTTCTATCAGTCGCGAATGATTGAGGTGGTTAAATACCTGGAGGAGCAAAATCTTTTGGAGAACGATGATGGTCGAAAAATTATGTGGACTCCTGCAGCCGAAATTCCTCTAATTATTGTAAAATCTGATGGTGGTTTCACTTACGACACGTCAGATATGGCTACCATCCGTTATCGAATTGTCGAACAACGTGGTGAACGTTTGATTTATGTAACTGATGCCGGCCAAGCAACCCATTTCAAAGCAATTTATTCTGCAGCGGAGATTTGTGGTTTTTCCAATCCCAGTAGAGTTCGATTGGAGCACGTTCCATTTGGAATGGTCCTGGGAGAGGATAAGAAGAAATTCAAGACTCGTTCCGGTGATACCGTCAAACTTGTAGACCTTTTGGATGAAGGCGTTAGCCGAGTGAGGAAGAAGTTGATTGAGAAAGGTAGGGATAAGGAATTAACTGAAGAGGAGCAACAAATTGCTGCTGAAGCCGTTGCCTATGGATGCATCAAATATGCCGATCTCTCTCATAATCGCATTAATGACTACATCTTCTCTTTTGATAAGGTATGTTGTGTGTCTTTATTATAATACTATTCTTGGCGGGTTAGATCGATTTAGCTAACAAGGCTAGATTTTATGATGCCATCTATGCAACCTTGGCTTTTAATGTCTTCTCGCCAATAATTCAGATAAAATACTTTTAATACCTTCAATCTTCAGTTTGCACTGTACTCGGACAGTTAAACTTAGCCCTCGGTTTAATTGTAATGGGTATTTTTATTTGATAGAAGTAATGTGAATTGAATTGGAACAATAGTTCAAATTTCATTACTTTGACAGTAATTCCGTCGAATTGTTGTTTTTGCATTAGATGCCCAATCAGTAACTAAAGCAGGGAGATGCAATTAGATCAACCCAGATGCAGTAAATTTGAAAGTCGATAACTAAGTTACCATAACATATTACATAGCAGTGGAGCTAATAAATTGTTACTCTATTGATGAATTCGTTTTCGGAGGTATTCTTTCCTAACAAATAGACTATTCCTTAAATTAAAATAAACTTTTTTAGATGCTAGATGATAGAGGAAACACGGCTGCCTATCTCCTTTATGCCTACACACGTATTCGGTAAGTTATTCCTCCGATAATTTTGTTCCTCCTTATCCCTCAGAGTAACAATCGGTTATGCTGCTTCTATTAATTATTTATAGATCAATTGTTCGAAAGACTGGGTGGGATGAAGGAAAGCTGGCTCAGGTTCGTAACTCCACTCATATAAGCTTGGAACATCCAAATGAGTTGAAATTGGGTAAAATGTTGTGTCGTTTGCCGGAGATTTTGATCAAATTGGAGGATGATCTGTTCTTCCATAAACTCTGCGACTATCTCTATGGCCTTAGCTGTGCGTTCACAGAATTCTACGATGCGTGCTATTGCATTGAGATTGAGAATGGTGAGTAGAGTTATAACTACTGAAATCAACATTTAAGTATTATAAATCGAAATCATAACTGCATGATTTTTCTCCAATTTAGGTAAATTGGTGAAGATAAATGAGTCACGGATTCTTCTCTGTGATGCTACAGCCAAAGTGATGAAGTGCTGCTTTGATATCCTTGGAATTAGAACTGTGGAAAAAATGTAAAAAATGGCAAGAACGCTTATATTTCAAAAGTTTTTTTCGCATGAGTATGTAATGGTTTTTTTCTCTTGGGATCTTGTTTCATTTTTATATTTGCTAGTGGGTTATGAATTAAGATTTTGTAATTTCTACTTATTCTAATAGAGCTCACCAACTCAGCCCATTCAAGTCAGAACACTTCCTGGGATTACTATTTTCGTACCTTGCTCTACCTCTTAACTTTGCTTGTTTTTCAAACATGTACGTTTGTTACGCTCGGGCTGGTATTCAGGAAAGTAATTAAAAGGGGGATTAGATTTCCACAAAGGATGCTAATTTAATGAAAGGGAGGAGGTAGAGTGCTGTAAGTGAAGCTGTTGGAGCTCGGGGGGGGGGGGTTGGAGGGGTGTGAACTAGGTGGATTTGCACTGGAGGCCAGAGTTTAGGTAGACAAGACTTAGACAGATCATGGAGATTCTATCAATCTCCAAACCTTATAAGCAATTCAATTATATGCCATGAAATTGGAGGGACGAGGTATATTTCCAGATTGCCCGCTTAAAAGAAGTGAGCGTGAGTCATGTTAGGTAATAAGGTTGCAGTTTCTCCTTCATTCAAATCCAGCCAGTAGACTCCACTTACCTTATTGACAGGGGGTGTGCGATAGACTTACCTCCACGTGGTGCACC